AAAGTATCAAATTAATGTAATAAATGAGTACAACTTCCAACACTAAGTCATACAAAATAACCTACCTTCAATCTTGCTTCAAGGATTTTAGTAAGGGTAAGACAGTCTCCGTGAAATCCACTGCAGCCAATAACTGTTGTATCTGTCCTGTATAAACACAGTATTGATAAGATTGTAAATAATTTTGACAGACTACAACAATACATTTTCCTGGAGTTATTTAATTTATATATTTCTTCCCATACTGCAGTCTGTCAGATATAGAAAGTATCTGTCAATTCGTCCTGTTCAAATTTTCATAAACCATTGGAGAAATTAAAGTTTACTACTTAAAATTCTAGAACTAAAAGTTTGCGTTGGTCTCAAGTGCTATGATTTTACACATATAGGATCTGTGTTCACTAATACATGGTGACCACAAAGTGTGAACATGTGCCTGTATATAGAATATGCCATTATATGATTATACTGACACACAATGTGATTTTATTTATTTACTTTGACGGCTTAGGGGGGAATGGTTTGACCAATTTTATTGATTATATATTCATTGTCAACTATCATTCATTTATTTATTTGAGTCATCGAAATGATTCTGGATGATGACCAAAATTAACAAATTTGCAGCAGCATCATGAAGTTTTCATAATATTTTTGATATGCAATGCTGGATGTGCATAGTTTCAAGCCCTCTGATAAAAGAATACACTTTATCTGGAGTAACCGAAAAATGCATTATCTTAGCAGAAGTATTAAAACAGGCTTTCAATAAAGCATCTTATTTTATCTAACATTATTCCATTTAGCAGATCAATTTAACATCAGATTGCTTTAACACAATTTCAGTATTTCGACATAGAAATAAATGTTTTAATGGGTTTGTTCTAGATATGACTACATCTGTATCAAACTCATCAAAATATCTACCACTTTAAACTTACAGTTTATAACATTTAGGGCTCTCCCGGCTATGAATTGCATAGTCTTCACTCAGTCGGGTGTCTGAAGCAACAACAACAAAATCTTCACCAGCAATTGCCAATATGGTCCTAAGCAAAAGAAAATAATAATTATTTTTTTGTAATTGTTTAGCCTTCATGTATTTAAATTTACTCTGAAACCTTGAAAATTTAGTATTTTAGCTTTAGCTGTGCATTTTCTTACTTTTTTCAAAAACATAGGAGGATTATGCTTAGTGGCTCATAGCCATAAAATGAAAAAAAAAATCCATGGCTTCAGTCCGGGTTCAATAGCTTTGAGGAAACTGGGGCAACACTTCCCATTGATGATACATATGGGCACACAGTATGAGCTGGGGATAAGAGGGTTGTCTCAAAAACATTTATTGTTTAGGAGCATTAGGGAGTTTCTCCAACACTCATCCTATATAAAGTTAGTCCTAAGCCTCCATTTCTCACCTCAAGTTGATAAGAAACTGTTCTTCCAATTTGCCACAAGTATGCATAGATGGAGATTTCAGGGTCACATTGCACACTGATGCCCCAAGAGGCCGTCTTTTAGATTAGATGCTATTTCATTAACTTGGAAGTTTTCCCTATTATTTTTATCTACATTTAAAAATTACAGAACCCACTAAGAAGGAAAGCTTTTAAGGAAAACTGTTGCCTTTTTTAAAAACATACGTTTTAAAACTCCTAGTATTTGGGGTTCCTTAAGTAAGCTGGATAAGGAACAAGAAGCAGCATATAAGAAAATGAAGGTGGAATCTGAAGCAGGACTGCTTCACTGCTGCAAATAAAACTATTAAGTCAATTTCCAAAAGGCAAACAAAAACTATCCTACATTCTTTACTTTGTGCATTAACATTTGTGTCAAAGAAACGTCTGTTGGAGTGATAACTATTTAAAGGTAAAGGTTCCCCTCACACATATATCCTAGTCTTTCCCGACTCTAGGGAGTGGTGCTCATCTCCGTTTCAAAGCTGAAGAGCCAGCACTGTCGGAAGACGTCTCCATGGTCATGTGGCTGGCATGACTAAATGCTGAAGGCACATGGACTGCTGTTACTTTCTCACCCAAGGTGGTCCCAATTTTTATACTTTTATTTTTACATGCTTTTGAACTGCTAGGTTGGCAGAAGCTGGGACAAGTAAAGGGAGCTCACTCTGTTCAGTGGAACTTTCTGATCAACAAGCTCAGCATCTTAGCCACCGAGTCCTAATTTCTAAATAGTTATCACTCTCCAAGAGAAGCTTCTTTGGCACAAATATTAATGCACAAAGAAAGAATGTAGGGTAGTTTTTGTTTGCCTTTTTTTGGGGGGGGGGAATTGCGCTGCCTTTAGAAAATCAATCCTGAAGTATAGCCCTGGCACAAGATAATTTCAACCAGTCGCTAGTGGTAATTCAAGCCTCGCTTAAAATTCTGGGTCGCCTTTGGAAGAACCCTTACATTTAATGCACTACTTAAACCCACCTTGTTATGCTCTGCTGCTACTTCTAACGTCCAGGTAAAGCCTTTGTGATCTTGTTGAGTTTTACCACCCTTTGTATCCATTTAGTTAGAAGCCACGGCGAGGTGTTTATAGAACAAGTTATGAAAATTATGAAAGAAACTCGAGTTTGAGGGTGGGGGAAATAACACTAACTGCTGTTTTACTACTTCGCAGGGAGATGAGAAAAAGAAAGTAAAACCGCAGATGGGGGATGAATGCTTTGTCGAAAGGCAGGATCGGTCTTAAAGGGAGAAGTAGTACCCAAAGAAAAACACCGGCGCGCAACCAATGAAGCGCTTACCCGCCATTGAAAGTATATGGAGAGAAGCGACGCTGCACCGCAGAGTTCTGCTTAACCTCTCTGGGCAACCCGAACACAGGCTCAGCGTAGCCACCAGCCGACAACATCGTTGCTCCAAATCCACCGGTTCCCCGCTTTGCTGCTGTCTCACGGCAAGATGGTGGGAGCGGAAGCGGAAAATGTCGCCACCCGGCGACGATCGTCCTCACTCGTCACAGCGCCCCCTCTGACCAGGCGGGATATGAAAAAGCTCAGTTGTGGGGCTCGGCGGGGAAAGCGTCCTCCGATTGTTCGTCCGAGACGCGGAACTTTTTAACGACTTGCAAGTCCTGTGAAAGTTGGTTTTGCACAACACGCGGGGCTAAAGCTTGGTCGGCTGGTGGTGTGAACGCAACTCACTGCTTAGAGACGGCTGTAATGGATTGTGAAGCGGTATATAAGTCTTAAGTGCTATTGCTAATCTTGCTGGCTCAAAGCTGTAAGAATCACGGTTGAGGAGGACGGCGTCAGCCAGGGTAAAATCGAATTGGCCATAATAGAGAAGAGAGTATTTTTGGAAAAGAGCACATACCTGGGAATTGCTCCCTGTCTTTCCAGCAACTGTTGACTTGTGAATTAAAAAGCGATGCCATATCTCTCCAGGATAGAGATCAGGGCACTGAGGGCTGGACTAGAAGACCTCCAAGATCCCTTCCAACCTTATTGTACTATGTTCTAAGAGATGGCTCATGTAGGCATTCCTTAATGTCTGTGATAAGCCACTGGAATAAAATGATCAGAAAATGGAAATTATCCGGGCAAAAATTCAACTGCTGGTGTATATGCAGACTTCAACTGATTCATTACTTTTTCTATAAATTCTTGAAATCTGCATTTTAAAATTAGAACACAGGAATCTCTGATAGAAAATTCATACAATAAGTGGAACTAAGACACACGCTTTTCCGATCACTGAAAGCCAACCTGCCTAAGGACTACAGGTAGTCCTCGACTTATGAACACAATTGGGTCCCACATTTATGTTGATAAGTGAGACATTTCTTGAGTTTTGCCCCATTTTCTTGCCACAATTGTTAAGTGAATCATTGCAGTTCATAAATTAGTAACCCAGTTGTTAAGTGAATCTGGCTTCCCTATTGATTTTGCTTGTCGGAAGGTCCCAAAAGATGATCAAAGGTCCCAAGCATCTGAAATTTTGTCACATGATCATGGGGATGCTGCAAAGAGTGTAATTGTGAAAAACGGTCCTAAGTCACATTTTTCAATGCTGTTGTAACAATGCTATGGTCATTAAACGAACTGTTGTAAATCGAGGATTACTTGAATAGAGAGGAACAATTCTACCTGCCTGTCCCGGAGGATCTTTTCATATTTTGTGCTCTCCTTCACTGATCCCTTAAACTCTGCGTTTTAGGAGCCCATCTATCTCATTGCACCTGGGCAGTCAGTGGCGCTTAGAAGCTCGGGGGATGGGTCTGATTGTTTCCCCACCCCACCTCTCCACCTTTCAGCTCTTCGTCGTTTTTCTTAACCCGATGCCCCCCCTTCGTCCCCCCCACCCCCTTGCATGAATCAATGTATTGACTCGGGCGGGAAGCTGGGAAGGACTTCTTCCAGGCACAACTTTGGAAGTCGGCTTCCACGCCCTCTCTTGCCGCCCTTAAGAGATGTGGCGCCCGCAGTAACGGCTTTGTGAAGGTTATGTCCGCGACTGGCTTGATGACGTAGAAGAGGTGCGCCGCCGGATGAGGCGAGCGCGGGGGCACGGCTCAGGTCGGCAGAACTTCTGGAGCGGTAAGTCGCCGGGCCCGGCAGCGCTGCGCCTTTATTTCTAGCGGGGGGACTCAAGTCTGCCGGCCCGGGGCCCCGGGAGAGAGTCTTATTTAGCGGACTTTACAAAAGCGGAGGAGGTGTGGGCCGAAAACGGTTGCAAACCCTTAACGCCCCCCACTCCCCGTCACTTCGGGACGTGGAGTCAGCGTGTCCGTTGAGTGTTGCTTGGAGATTGAATGGCTGCGCCGCTTCGAAGGGAAAACTCAGGAAGGGGAGCTTTGCTTTTCCCCCCGCTCCCTTCCCCCCTTTTTTTCCTCTGCCAAGGTGCCAACCTTGAAGAGTCACAATGCAGTTGGTGATCCTTATAAGTAAGGGGCGTGCATAAGCACACCAACGTGCCTACCGTCCCTGTCCAAATGTTTCTTTTTATTCGTATCCATTTCATGTATCCAAAATCATGTTCATACATGCATATGTTGTCTAATACATGCTTGACGAAATAAATAAATAAATAAAATAAAACTCCTCGGATAGCTATTGTGTACACTCACACAGACCGATCCCTGGGCATGGGTTGTCTGAAAACATCACATCCCTCTGTGTATGTAGGGCTGATTTGCAAGATTTGCTCGCCCGCGAAAGGAATATGCCTGGGCTGAACAAAGAGGTGTAGTAGATAAGGTATGAATGTGTGTCTCAGAACAACTCATTCAGGGTAATTTGAATGGATTTTCAGCTCTCTTGAGATGGTTGAAGGGCTTTGGCTAACACGGATCTATAATGTGGGCTCTTAAGAATGTTAACAGTAACAGAGTTGGAAAGGACCCTGGAGGTCATCTAGTCCAACCCTCTGCTCACGCAGGAGACCTATACTAGGGATTCGAACCGTCGAATGGCATAGTTTTGCAGTTTTAGACTTTGCCCTTACACAAAGTTACCCCATATTTAGATGGCGATGTATGTAATTTAGCTTATTCAAAACATGGTGAGACAGTCATGTTATGTTTTGGAAATTTTCTGTTAAGTGGAACATTGGAATCCTGTTCCACAATTCTTCCCTTAATAGCCCCAGTAGCCATGAACCTGTTTTCAGTGGCTCTGTACTAGTTCAGGTACTTAAATGTAAATGGATCAATCTAATAAAGAAATTGAATTTTTTACATTGTTGTTTTAAACGTAGTATAATAGTAAAATAATTTTTGAAGATCAGTGCATCAGACAGATCTGCTTGTTGCCTTTGAGACTCACCCATTTGCAATTTTCCTCTAAATGCACTTCAAAGTGTAGTGGTATTTATAGGCATCATACCCCCACTCAAGCTTATTATATTCATGCTGTCTGTGGTGGGTGGCCGCCTATTTGTAATGGGGAGGAAAGAAAAATGTTATACCACTTCTGTTGTGATCTCTTAGCCACTTCAGCAATCTGCTATACATTAGAGGCATTCTTGTTATCCTCTTACAGTATTTTAGAAATCACTGCAGAGAAATGGTCACAATGTAGAGATTCTGTGGAAAATGAAAGGGTTATCCCCAATGAGCATGGTCATGCTTTGTTTTCTCATGAAACTGAGAATTAAAGAATAAATTTATATGTTTTAAATGTAGAGGAACTGTAGTTAATTGTGACAGTTTAATATTTGCTCTGATTTTATTTGTGTAGAAATAGATGAGATTTCTTAATCCCATTTATACTACTGACATATTAGTTTAAATATTAATACCAGTACATACATTCCTCCAAATATTGATAAAATGTAACCAAAGTGTAACAACTCTTGTTTATAGTTCAGTCCTCTGTATGTATACATTCTATGGTTAATGTTGCTTATAGACACAAAACCATACATAAACCACAAAATAGGAAATAAGTCCTTTCAAATTTAGAATATTTTGCTGATGAGTCTGGTTTTTTTTCTGAGCTTAGTTGTTTTCTTGCAGAGGTCTCATTATCCAGACTAGTAACATCAGTGCTTGCCTTATCTGTGTTGGTGGGAGTGGTTTTGGAAGGTGTTTGGTTGAACCCTTTACTGTTACCTTGTTTGGCAGTTCCTTGATTGGGGTATTGATTACTTCTTGAATGTAAATCTGGTGTTAATCTTGGAGTTAATCTATGCTCTTCAGAGTACTGATTGCTGATGGGGAGGTATTTTGATCTTTTATTCTTGTGATTGGTTAAGATTTATTATCATAGTTTTAACAGGGAAACTAACCATCCTAGACCAAGCCAAATTCAAAAATGCTAGATAATTCTTAGAAGCCTGGCACTTTAACAAATTGGCCATCAATAGACATAATCAACATCTACATGTGTGCAAAAGCCAAAAAGGGAACAAAAACCCAGGCATCTCCTCACTGTCATTCATCACTCTGATGATCATAGATTAACACCAAGATTAACATCAGACCAAGACCATTCCCACCACAGGGCATGCCCCTAGAATATAAATTGAGAGCAAACTCTAGTTCTTACTATCACTGATGATGTTTAGTTTGGGTAATGAAACTTCTGCAAGAAAACAAGCAAGAGGACACCAATGACCCATCATTTCAAGCCTGAGCTACAAATATTCTCCTCTATTGGAATATTTGCTGTTTGTCACATCTTTTTGTTCACTTTTGACAGGTAGGATATTTAGACCTTATGTATTCTGATTACAATTTTTGCAGATAAAAATTCTTATGGAAAGAGAATTTCTTAAGTATAGATTTATGTTTTTAGCTAGATAATTTTAGATTATTGAAGTTATGCGTCCAATTGAGTAAGCATTAAATTTTATTTTTAATTTTCACTACTGCACTGCTAAATCATAATTCTTAAAATAAATGACTACTCCTAGTACGGTAGCGGGAATGACCATTAGTGTAACTTCTCTAGTGGGGATGACTAAACAAAGTGTACAGGATTTGTGGTTTATTTAGTGTGTGCAAATAGAGAAGTCTTGTGCTACTTTTGTAACAAATTACAATTCGATAACCATGTTCTTGATTTTTTTATAACTTGTTCTTGGTGGGAGAAAGTGACAAGGATCCTCTTTTCCATTTGTGCTAAATATACAATGAAAGGAGATTTCATGGATTCTTTATCACCTGCTAAAAGGAACACTACAAAGAGACTGACTGAACTAGTCATGGTAAGCTAGAATTCTTCAGAATACTAGCTAAGAGTGACATACAGATGAGTTATTTAATTGAACAATGTACAGTAATCCAAAGGCCTTGGTTAATTGATTCTTGTTTATTAAAAGTGAATCTTAACAGTAGTATGGATCCACATAGGCCAATTTATGATTTGTGCAGGAATTCAAATTTAATAATCTCCAATCATTTGTTATTTAGGCTCATATTAAAACACATTTAGTGAAGAGAATCAGCAGTTTCTCTGTCAGTCAGTTTTCCAGTTGAACTGTTCTTACTGCTAGGAAGATTTTGTAAGTCAAATCAGTCTTCCTATAACTTAAATCTGTTATTCTGTGCACAGTACTCTATAAGTCTTAACTTTCTTCTCTGTGGTGTACTTACAGGTTTTTGAAGAGTACTATTGCATTGCTTTATAGTCCTCATAGCTCCTTCAATCTCTCTTTATTAACCTTAATTCTAGCCTTGAATCATCCTTATTATGATACTGTAAACCATTTTTAATCAGTTCTGACATTTTCAAGTTGCCAAGGTTGAGAAACACTGACTTAATGCAACCCAGGCAAACCAAAACAGTGGACAATATTCATTTGCTCTTTTTGCTGCTATATTTATTTCTTCTTTCTGGACTGAATCACTCTTGGGATAATTCAGCAGTAGCAAAAATACATCCTTCAGATCAGCAGTGGTTCAGTGTGTTCTGGAAGAGATTGAACATGGACTTTTTGAGGCCAGAATATGTCTTGAAACAGTTACTGTTAAGAATATTTTGATATCTTGTTTTACTCAGCCTTTGCATTAGGCTCTTATCAATTACTTGGAGTAAACAGGCATTAACTTATGAGCCAATGTTTCTTAATTTATTTGTAATTGAAAATCATCCGATCAAACACCCTCTCTCTACATTTTTGTCTTAAAAACATTATACATATTTGGGAAGAAATAATTATAGTTGTATAATTGAGGAATGACTAGGTTCCCATTCCAATGAAGCCCCATTTAGATACTTGTCATCCTATTTCCTATTTGTAGTTTTCTTTTGAAGCTGCTTGTGCAAATCATAGTGCCATTTAACACAGCACATGTGGACTCATTGTCAGGAACTGTCTTGAGACTTTTTTACTATAATAAGTTTTCCAAATGTTAGTAGAAGTGGTAGTGTGAATAGCGCCTCTTGTTGTTGTTTTCACTAAACCAGCTTTTAGCCACTAATCCATTTTTGTAAGCCATTGACTACTCCTGAACATGGGGAGGTGGGAGCTGAGGTGATGAACACACTCTGGCTTGGCAAGCAATAAGCTGAGGCAACAATTAGAGGCAATAGGCAGACTGGTGAATGTTTGAAGTTTGCGATAGGCCACCTCCATGAAACACGGTTAGAGAATCACTGCTATTAAATTGCTGGCACAGGAAAAAAACTAACAATATTTTGTTTTACCTGGCTTTGGGTATATTTACTCTCCTTGATAAGGTTTCTTCTTTTTAAAGAGGATTCTTGCCTTATATTCTTGCTCAGGACTGTATCCATTTGAATGTGAATATCCATTTGAATGCAAACGTTTCTTTTAAAATAAAATGTGATTGTCTTGATTTTTCTGAGGCATTTTGTAGCTAAATGTATGCAAAGGAAATGGGTGTATGCAGTGATATAAGTGAAAGGAGTAGGCAAAATCCTTTCTATCTAGAAATTTGCTTCAAGAGAAGGTGTAGATGACTTTCTTGTGTGAAATAAAAAATAGGACAGAACTAATTTAAGTATTTTTAATTTACTCAGTTTTGTTTTTCCTTTTATTAGGAATTTACCTGATATTTTTTTAGTCTATTTTGTTTGGTTTGTTCTTCTTTAATAGTTATGGAATATAAAAGTGACAACTGGTTTGCTGTTGCTTGTTATGCTTCCAAAATGTAACTATAAATTATTCCTTAATTCAGGTCATTACTGAGGCAGGAAAAAGAAACAAAAAAGTTAAATATTTTTTCTATGTGTATATCCTTTGTTTTCAGAGTTGAGTCAAGTGGGAATTTTATTTATTTTTTTTGGCCCATTTTCTGGGGAAAAAGCTTGCCACAAACTCTCTTATGTACTTTTTGCTGTAATTTTAAATGTTATATTGCACTAATATGTTGTTTATTTAATTGAAAGCTTTAAAGGTAAGATTTATCATTGCAGATTTTTAATTGATTTTTTGATATTTAACTATATTTATGTAATTAATTTCTGAATTCCATTCCCGTGGTGTTGGAAACAGCAAACATGATAAACATTAGTTCATCTATGGAAAATAGTTACTGCAACATAGGAGTAATATATGTTATGAATTTTACCTGAACACAGTAATGTGAGACTTTTTCTCTTTTTCAGGTCTGGAATCTTTATTTTACATACTTGATGTTTTATCAAATATGTCAATACAGACTGCAATTTAGTTTTTGGGATGCTTTAAGGAAAGCTACTTCCTTAAGGTAGATGTTGTGAAGCTTGATTTCTGGATTTAATTTCTGGAAGTAGTCCTCATTTGACTGGACACCTGATTGCTGCAATGGATCAAAACAACAGTTTACCACCCTATGCTCAGGGCTTAGCATCCCCACAGGTAAATATATATATATATATACACTAATTAACTTATTGAAAAACAAAACTTTCAAAACAGTTTTTAGAGACCTGCAGTGTTGGATGGGTTTTTTTAAACCTTCCTTTGCTGTTTCTTTTCCTTGAATTTTAAAACAGTTGTGTTTATAACCTCTCTGTACCTCAATACTATATTGATTGCTACTCGCCATGCCAGCGAGGTTAGGACAAGTTTTGGTTAATTCTTATTGCTATCTTTTTGATGGGATCAGTGATGGATATTAAGGCAGTAAGAACTGTTCATTGTTAACATAGTTTCACTATTGAAACTCCTGCCGTGAACAGAACAGTAATTGCTTGACAGACTAACTCTTCAGGTTTATCTGCTTGAGATATATGGACATAGTTCTTGATTTTGTCCTTCTATTTTAAGGCTTTCTAACCTCACTGGAACCAGAACAGAAAGCATTTTCTTCTGCTTTGTTTTTTGTATTTTTCCCAATAGTTTTTATTAAAGATTATTTTAATCAAATAAAACTAATTCAAAAGTCTGATACAAATGTACATTAAAAAAGAAAAAAGTGAGAGAACTCCCCCCTCCCCCCAAAAACCTAACAATAGTAAAAAAAAAAAAGAGAGGAAACTTTCCCCTTCATCACCAGCAAGTATTATTCAGCATTAACAGCTTATCACTGTCTGTTAAAATATAATCAAATACATTTTCAATCCATACTTCAAGCAGTTTTCTATCTTCTCTAAATCTTCAGCCCTCCTTATCCAATCAACAGAGGTCCAATAACATATAGCCAAAATACCTAATAACACAAGTATATAATCCCCCTTTCCATATATTTTTCTTCATTCTGTAAATTGAGTGTTCTTTAATTGTAATCTTTAGTACCCTCTAGTATCCAAATTTTAAAGTTTTATGTTTTTTCTTAAAAAAAAAATCAAAACAGAAGCATTTTCCCACAGAGAGGATTCTTTATAAATTGATTCCAGACTGAATATTATCTGAAGCCTTAGTCCATTTGTAACTTTTTAAAAACAAAGATTTAATCATCTGTTTGCTGTTTGTTTGTATCTCCCTCCCCCGCTAAACAAAAATTTTCTAAACCTGTAGTTAAAAGCTTCTTCTGCTGAAGGAAAATCATTTTGGTGCTCTAAAACCTGTTGATCCAAGGGTGCCTAATAGCCGAGAAACAGTTAACAATTTCCAAAAGCAATTAGAAAGAAAGTATGAACATATGTCTTTTGAAAGCTGCCTGACCATATTTTGAATGTGATGGCTGTTCCAGAGCTGTAAACTTGCTGGAGACTGCTGTCTTGGGTTTTCTTGCAAGAAGTTGCTGTCTGAAGCACTCGTGGGCAACCTCACATCCTTTCTTTGTCTGGAGAGGAATTATAGAGCCAGTTTGCTCACTGGCTCTTCATTCTACTGCAGTTGTCAGATCCACTTTTTCTAGACCTTCAGTTCATTGCTTCCCTGAAAGTCCCTTTCGCAATTCAATTTTTGTGGTCCACTAGAATACGTTTAAATTGTAGCACTTAATTTGGCAGCAAAACCCATCCATTTTCACGAACCCAAAAAAATATTGGATGCATCAATTCTAAATGAATAGTGTAATGTGAACATCCCTTTTTCATTTAACCGGGCAGTGTTCTTGCTACCTTCAACTTTGGAAATGTTGATTTAAAGACATTGCAGGATTAGTTAAAGCAAATCGGGTAAAATCAAATTTTGATGGTTTCACTGTTGAAAATTTGATTGTGATACTTATGAATATGAATTAATTATAGAATAAGACCCAAAAGTAAAATATAGTGGCAAAAGCAGCTTGGTCATCTTTGCTCTATTGTATCTTGAACAAAATCCTCTGCATGGTTATTCAGAAGCAAATTGCTGTGCAATTGAATTTGCTTCTAGGATAAATATATATTGGATTGCAATTGTGTTTTATGAGCCATGATGACACAATGGTTAGAATGCTATTGCGCAGCGTAATTGTGCTGACTGCCAGCACTTCAATTCTCACCAGTTCAAGGTTGACTCATCCTTCCATCCTTCCGAGGTGGGTAAAATGAGGACCCAGATTGTTGGGCAATGTGGTGACTGAAAACTGCTTAGAGAGGGTTGTAAAGCACTGAGAAGCAGTATATAAGTCTTATTGATATGATATCCAGAATACAGCAGCCATTCTGTAAATAATTCTATGCATTCCTAATCTTGTTTATGATAACTCATGCATGTTGCAGTCTTTAACTTTTAAAAATTGTGTTCATGTTGTAGAGTGCAATGACTCCAGGCATCCCTATTTTTAGTCCTATGATGCCCTATGGCACTGGGCTCACACCTCAACCTGCTCAGAGTACCAACAGTTTATCAATCCTGGAAGAACAACAGAGGCAGCAGCAACAACAAGCAGCAGCACAGCAGTCCAGTTCACAACCAACACAAGCAGCATCTGGTCAAACCCCACAGCTCTTCCACTCACAGACTCTTACAACTGCCCCTTTACCAGGAACCACACCTCTCTACACCTCTCCCATGACTCCCATGACCCCCATAACGCCTGCCACCCCTGCTTCCGAAAGCTCTGGGATTGTACCGCAGCTGCAGTAAGTGCAGATTCCACTCTGCTCGCAAATCCTGTACAGGTAGTCCTTGACATAACATTTAGTGACCTTTCAAAGTTACAACGTCGGCGAAAAAAGTGGCTCATTAATGTTTTTCACAGTTACGACCATAGTAGCATCCTCATGATCATGTGATCAAAATTTAGATGCTTGGCAACTGGTTCATATTTATGACTGTTGCTGTGTTCCAAGGCCACGTGATCTCCTCTTATGACTTTCTGACAAGCAAAGTCAATGGGGAATCCAGATTCATTCAACAACCGTGTGACTAATGCAACAAATGCAACAATTCACTTCAACAATTGTGGCAAAAAAGGTCGTAAAAATGGGACAAACTCACTTAACAAATGTTTAACTTAGCAACATAAATGTTCAGCTCAGTTGTGGTCATAACTCAAGGATTACCTGTACTTTAAAAATGGTACATTTTAAGGGGGAATTCTATATTGATTTTTTTTTAGAGCAAGTTGGGCAACCTGCATTCTGAGTTCATGCTGCCAAGTGGCTCTGTTTCACTTGCATATGTTGCTGTGTTGAATGCAGGTACCTTGCGGGCATTTATTCAGAATGCCAATGCATTAAGTTGGATTTAAAAATTCAGTCATTTTAAGATTTCTCTGAGGTTTTTTAATTTAGATTTTTACTGATATTATGGCTTGTAACTATTGCTCACGTGATTACTCTTGTAATTAGTTTTTGTAGAGTGTCCTTATTTGAAGCTTTTAAGATTACCTAATATATCTCTGAATTATCTCCAGGAATATTGTGTCTACAGTAAATCTTGGTTGCAAACTCGACCTCAAAACCATTGCCCTTCGTGCTCGAAATGCTGAATACAATCCCAAGGTAAGATATAACGGAGAGGTGACAATTAAAGTTACATTAATCAATGATGGTTTTTTTGCTATTTTTGCTTCTGATAGCTCATGTTACTTGCTTCAATTATTGCAAAGGGCATTTCTGAGTATGCTTTTTAAATGTAGCCAAGAAAAGATTTTTGGGGCTGCAGTAGTAACCTTAAAGAACAATGCCACTGTGCATTCATGTTGTGTCAAACCATTTTATACTAAAAACTGCAAAATATATCAGCATTTGTTGTGATATACAGTAGTTTTGGTAAAAATAAAAGGTAAAATTTGACAGAACTACTAGATCCCATTTCTAGTTGGCCATAAAGAATGGTTTACAAAACTGGCTGGGTTCATACCTCATGCCAAGCAACCTATATTGTGACTTTCCCTTTTGGTAGTAATTGTGGGAAGAAAATCTTGTTAACGTTCTTGTAAAAGAAGGCAAACCGCCTCAGTGGCTAGGATGCTGAGCTTGTCGATCAGAAAGGTCGGCAGTTTGAATCTCTAGAGTTGCGTAAAGGAGTGAGCTCCCATTACTTGTCCCAGCTTCTGCCAACCTAGCAATTCGAAAGAATGTAAAAACGCAAGTAGTAAAATAGGAACCACCTCTGGTGTCTATTCTACTTGAATTCAAGTCAAACTTACTGCAATGTTTCGGCTATCAAGTTTGAGAAATGTGTTTTCCTTAAACAAACAAAAGGAACTAATATATTGTATTACATTGTATTTGTAACTGTAGATTTTTTTTTAAAGTGAAGAATGGAGATTAATGCAACTTCAACTTACTAACTAATGTATGTTTAGGGATTTTTGTTGTTGTACCATAGTTATAAAAGTGTTTGTTTTTTTGTGTTTCAGCGTTTTGCTGCTGTAATTATGAGAATTAGAGAACCAAGAACAACTGCCCTTATATTTAGTTCTGGTAAAATGGTGTGCACAGGAGCTAAAAGGTATGCAAGCTGAAGCAACTGTCTGCAGCCATTTAACTTATTAGCATTTGGCCCAACAGATATGGCCATTTGACATAGGTAATCTGTTAAAAGCCAGCTAATAGGTATGTAATTTACAAACTGTATGTATATCATTCAGACATTCCTTGATGAAATACAATGCATCTTATATTTTTTCCAGTGAAGAACAGTCCAGGCTGGCTGCGAGAAAGTATGCTAGAGTTGTACAGAAGTTGGGCTTTCCTGCAAAATTCTTGGATTTTAAAATTCAAAATATGGTGGGCAGTTGTGATGTAAAATTCCCCATCAGACTTGAGGGATTAGTTCTTACGCATCAACAGTTTAGCAGGTAAGACAAAAAAATATGTTATCTTAAATGCATATTGAAAACATTTTCTGTTGTGTTTCTTAGTTTTATTTAAAATGTCTCATACTTGTTTTGGGTCATTTATGTACTTCTTTGAATGCAAAAGAGAGGCAGCCATAGGCAGTTCTGATATATCTTTAATGTATAGATAATTTCAAACAATTTTAAATTTGTGTAAGATTCTGTGCTCAATTCTTCAATACTGAAACAAAAAGCTTTTTTATTTGAACAGAAAATTGACCATTTGTTAATACGTATTGGTGTAATATGTATTAGTGTAATTTAAATCTTTAAGAGTAGTAATGGAAAGTAGATAAGATACTATGCTAATTGAACAACTCTAAAAGTGAAAACTGAATTTCACACTAGCCCAACCTGTTTAAAATATTCTTGGCCTTACATTATATTATTAGAAATAGTTCAATAATTCTTATATGCAGTCTACTATATCCTCAACTTTTATATTGAGGAATTAGCACTAATAATGATAGGCCCTGGGATACATAAGACATGACTTAATATCATCTCAGCTTAATCTACATGTGGCAGAAGGAAAAAAAAATATTTCTATTTCTGAGCAAATACTTTGATCAGTCTACATTAGCTTTACGTTTTACTTATATTGAACTTTTCTTTCAGTTATGAACCAGAATTGTTTCCTGGTTTAATCTACAGAATGATCAAACCAAGAATTGTATTGCTCATATTTGTTTCTGGAAAGGTAGTTTTAACAGGTAAGCCATATTTGAAATTTCTGTGCACTGACTGTAGCAAACCGAAAAGTACCCAATAAAGATTTCAAATAGCTAATTAACAGCAATTAAATGGGATAGTATGCCTTTAAAGACCACTAACAGCTAAACAAAAGCTCTATGAATTTGGTGCACAGGTTTGAATTCTACATTTACAATTTGTTAATGCTTTAAGAAAATTAGAAAACTAGTGATAATGGTAGCTACAGAATCTCTGAACATAGTGGTTAAATATTCTCTTCTTTCCTTTTAGGTGCAAAAGTCAGAGGTGAAATTTATGAAGCATTTGAAAATATTTATCCTATTTTAAAAGGATTCAGAAAAACGACGTAACAGTTCCATGTGTTTATTCATGAAGCTGGAGCACATTTTTAAAGGTATTGATTATGGCACAGCAGTAACACACACATCAGGACTTGGAATCTTTTCCCAGATAGTGCCTCTTTCCCTGTTTTTCACGGGAAGGGAACATATCATTGTGTGTTTCGTCTGCACTAAGTTACTGTGCATTGCTTCACCATGTTCTCACACAAGAAAAACTGAGCTTATTTATATTTCTGGCTCTTAAAATGGCTAATTTTTAAAATCTGAGTGTCTTATGCTGGCAAACTGGTTCAACTGTATTATCCAACATTTAAAACTCTGGGGTTACTTACAGTATTCTTTCAACCGTGGATTTTATAATCAGAAACGTTAATTTTATGCTTTTAGACCTACTTCCACATTCCCTACATTTCCAGTGTTCAGCAGGACAGAAACTTTGCTAGTGAAGACAGATGGCTGTATATATTATTTTGTGAAGCAATTCTAAATGTATAATTACTTGACTAAATAATTTGAATAGTAAAATTTGTGGTCAATCTTTGCTTTTGCTGTTTTAATGTGCTAACTGCATGCATATAGCTAAAATAACTTGATTTTTATAAGATTTTTTATTAACAATCCAGTATTAAAGTAATGTTTTGCCATTTCAGTTATTTTTGTGTTTTTTCTTAATTGTGTCTTAGTTTAAGGTTCTTATCTCCAAGAGGACTTACAGCTACAGAGGAATAATGTGTTAATGATAGAAATAGCTTGTTTCCAATTGATTTTTTCCATTATCTCCCCCCCCCCCCAAAAAAAAGCAGACCGGGTGCTGTAGTAGAAAGGAAAATGAATTTTGTATCTCCAAAGAGACATCAATATATCCACCCACACTACTGTATTCCTTTTAGGTTGGGTTGGAGATGGATTTACATACACTTAAGTACCAAAGAAAAAAACATTTCTTCCTCATCCCTCTCCTATAAAGCAACTAGATGAATTTCAGATATAATTTCTCTTCACCTTCCTTCCTTTCCCTCCCTCTCTCCTCCTCTTACAATGGCCAAGAAGAGGTTGATCTATTCAATACCAAAATGACTTTACCTCCATCATTATTTTAGTATGAATTGATCAATAATTTCAATAAAGCATGTGTGATTTCAGACCACAGCCAATGAATGGGGCATACTGTATTCAGAAATATACATAGCAGCTTACTTGCAATTTTTATTGAATTACATTGCAAAGTATCATGGAAACTTTGAACTCAAAAGTAAAGCTTCCTGTTTGCACTTCGAGACTCATCCCATTGGTTTCTTTCCACTGCAATGACAATTATCCATTATTCATTTTGTCACTTGTCAGCTACAAGCCAACCAATTTCATAATGAAAACAACAGGATGAATGTGAAAATTCTAGACTCTTGAATAAGTGGATGTCTTCTCACATATGAACAGCATATTCCAGCCAACGTACTGTACCTAAGAGTATTATTTTAAAAAAATTGCTTGCTTTGCTTTTTCCCAACCAAGATGCTAATCTTTTATTTCCATTTCTCATCAAAGAAACTAAAGAATCAGTTCCTGGATTGGATGATCTCACTATAGTGTTCCATAGTTATATAACGGAATAAACTATGAATTCCATATTTCAAATTTCATTCCATACCTGATTTTGCCAAAGCTTTCCTGGTTTGTAAAATTAAATTTCCAAATAAGTAGTCCTTTGAAACAAACTATTATTTATTGAATTTATATTGCCGCCTATTCGCCCATGGTGACTCATGGCAGCTTACAGAATATAAGACCACATTTAAAGCAATCAAAATAATCAAATAAATTAATATAGTATAATGTAACAAAATCACACACACCCCCAGTGACAGTAAATCACACGAGCCATTTAATGGGCTCCATCCCACTCCCCAGGCCCACTGGCAGAGTGAGGTCTTCAGCGCACTTCGGAAGAGTATTAGAGTGGGGGGCATTCTAATCTCTGGGGGGATGATGTTCCAGAGAGGGAGTAACCACAGAGAAGACCCTTCTTCTGGGTCCCACCAGTTGTATTTCCCTCGAGAATGGGAACCACAACTTTCCCTGTCTCCCCGCTCTGATGATACAGGTAGATGTGACCAGCAGAGATGGTCCCTCAGATAACTTGGTCCCAAGCCATGGTTATTACCATTACTTACGTTCTACTTCAGGATATAAATTATTCTAAGGTGGCATCCAAAATGAGCACAATGAAAAATAAGTTGACGAGGATCTCTCCCACAATGCAACTGATGGTTAATGGTTATGGGACAGAAGCAAATTCACCCAAAGCAAATTCTGACACTAAGGGTGGCAGTGGGAATGGTCTCAGGGATGAATAGAGGAAAATAAACAGTGGAAACAACAATTCATTTCTCACTTGAGCCTTTATTATAATGAATGTATCACCACATCATGTCTCATGATTGATTTTTTTTTTCACTTCAAAGTTTTAGTAAAATAATCACCTCTCTAGTCTCATGGTGATCATTGTATCAGCTTGAATATAAAAAGTAAGAAAAAATTATGATACGAAAGAAAACTATCTCGCTGCTTAAGCTTTGCAGAAATTAAACAGAATTGGAAATGTCCTGCTTCCAGATGAACTCTTCAGCATAGTGGTTTCCGAGATCACAATTCACAGTACATGTGTAGATAGCCAGTGTCCCCCAGTCAATGCTTTCTCCAAGACTGTCGACATTTAAGTGAGCTAGAAGCTGTGGCATCACCTTAAACAGACAAAATATTTTAAGTGAGCTTTTAAAACTAAGTGGTCAAATCACTTTAATTTATAACCAGAAAGCTCAGTATACTATTCTATTATCAATTTTTTGAAATATCCAAGAGAAAAGTAGATAAACAAAGAAATTGTGTTAAAAAGAAGTTTTATGGCCTTTTATGTGCAATCCTGCCAAACGTCCATACCTGGAATTCAAATACTCTTTTACTACCACACTGACAGTTGGGAATATCTGTGTCCTGAGGAATATTTAACCCTGAAATCCAGATGGGCCCTTCTCCATTTCTGCAGTATCTGATAATCTGAAATTCAAGAAGAATCAGAATTGAAAATAGAATTATGTAGATTTTGTAGGAGTATATATCATGTGAACTAAGAAATTCTCTTTTTCAATTGACAGAAGTATCTTGTATTAAATACTGATTTCTATGTATCATGTATTTACTTAAGTTGCAGGATTGTATGAAACATGCTTCCACTAAAGTGATTATCATCTTGGTAATTTCCCCCAAAACCTGTTCTAGTTTCTAAGCCACTGTAAAGGGTTAATAAGTACATCACCATCTTGCATTCTATCCTTCTATGTGCAAAGCTTAACAATCATGAATACGGAACATCTGCTATTAACTATAAGCCATATTTTGAAGCTCAGGCTTTTGGGTTTTCAAATCCCAATTTGGCAAATGGAAATGACAACCAGTCCAAGATTGCATGATTCACATCATTTCCTTTCTTGATTAAGGCATAGTTGAAAGATGAGACATAATATGCACACATTTGTTAATATGTTAGTATGTTGTGGCCTTTGTCTTACTAGCATTTCCATGCAGAACGGTACTAATGGCTCAATTTCCAACATTCAACTCTTTTAAATTTCATTTAATTTGTTGCTAGTCTCCATCTAAACGTTTTGGTAGCACAAAGTACGAAATTAATTCAAAGTGACAAAATTCTGGGCTGGATTATTCATATCCCATTCCCATGGTAATATATCAGTATATCGCATTAATGGACATGAAAAATACATTTAAAACACCTGTTCTGGTTCCAAAGATATTCTTTCTTTGAATATTTGAAAAAAATTATCTTCCAGAGTTTCATGTTTTGCCATCATCTCTAAGGACATCTCTTCTAATAATTCAGAAGCTTCATCTGGGGGAAAAATAACAGTATTTAAGTTGTAACGCTGAAATATTGTAAAAAATGTTTTTGGCTGAGTCTGTCAGGGATGAGTCAGTATTCATGAAATTTTATTTTAAAAAAGCTCATAAACAATGAAAAATATTGTGTCCATCTTAAAAGCCTGCAAAAAAGAAGAGAAAATGAGATCTGCATTGCGCAGAGCAAAACTGAAAATTGATGTTGCAAGTGTTTTCTCTTTTCATCTGAACTGAGATAGAAGAATTTGGTGGTGCTTTTTAAAACCAATGCTAAATCCACCTTACAGCTTCTATTATCGTGGTATGTACTTTCAATGTCAAAATGAGAGGAAAATGAACCAGATGTTTTTAGCAATTACACTTCAATACAGTTCTGACACAACATACTTATATGTCTGAGGCTAACTCTTAACTTTTAAGGAAACTCTAAGTATTTTTTTTTTTAAAAACTCATCATTTGATCTGAAAGACAGATCTATACATTCTTTAAGATATACTTCAGTTTAAAATAAAAATTTACAGTATTGAAACATGGACTCATTCATATTTCTCACTAGATTTACCTGTTGTGTCATCATTTTTCTCTAAATCTTCCTGCTCTGTGTCATTGACAGCAACAGAATCCAACTCCTCATGTTCTCTTACAATTTCATACTCGGGGAACAGAAATTTATGATCCGGAATTACATCTTCTATAAAACAAAAAGCCAATAAAGAAAATGAAGGAAGTCTTCATTTACTTTCTCCTAGATTTTATACATTTGTCAGAGGGTGGAGAAAAGGCAAAATTTTTCCAGAAAACCCCATTCTCTACTTACAATGATATTGACCATATACTATGGCTTTATTTTAACTGTACATATATAGCCTTAAACAAACAAACAAAATTAAAATGGATTTTTTCCCACAAATCTATTCCACTCCCTCTCTCAGCTACTTTATGGGCTTTCACTTATGGGCTCACTTGTATGGCAGGGAAGTTAATGAGAACAGGGGAAAATAATTTGATCCTAGCATCTTTCTCAAGCTCTCCTTGCTGGCATCTAATCTGTTCTCCAAAAATGACAATCCTTTCCACCCAATAATTTGTTTTTCAGTTCTGAGTTCTGCTAATTCCAGTTGGGTTTCCTTCTCCCTGACATGTAAAGAATTGTCAATCCACACCAAGTTCAACAATATCATCCTCAGGGGTGGTATTGACTTACCGGTTCAGAAATGTGAGCACGCATGTGCTTCACTTGCATGCGCCACCTACGTGCATAGTCTTCCGTGATGAGCCTTTGGTGAAAAAAGGGCCTAAATGGGATGGCATAGAGCTGGGGCAAGTGGGTGCAGCCACCCACGATTTCCGTTAGCAGTTCAGGAGAACCAGTCCAATACCACCTCTGATCATTCTCCTCTACTCAATATTTCTGCTCTGATTAGAATTAGGAAACAGATGTTTTAATTAAGCATGTTTCTTGGTGCCTGTGGTGGTGGTAGGAAATCCTTTAACTTTGAAACCACTGCATTATTTCACATACATTAGGGCAACTTTTCCTGACACAAATATGTCTTTGTGAGGTTGTGCAACAAATCTCAAAATTACTAGGCAGCAAATATGGTTTACATTCAGAATTGTACTAAGCCAAATGTTTATTTGCCTTTGATGTGGTATATATGACCCTTGTATCTTAAAAATAATGACTTCTGGCCTAGAATTATGTGTCAGCCAAGTCCAGAGAGCCAAATC